CAGTCCCTACATTATACCTTCATATTCCACTTTTTTAAAGTTAGTTTTCAATAAGTACTGTTCAGTTTTTCTGACTAGTCTATATATTGGCCACCTTGAGTCAGACTGTTTAGTTAAGTGTGTTCTTGTTTACCAGATGACATAAAGAACATATTAGCTCTTTTCTTTTGAATTGCCTTGGTTTACAACAAATCATTCTCAGCGCTGGTATTTCATTTAACTTTCCATGTGCCAACATTTAGCCAGGAAGTTGGTTTCCTTATTTAGTGAGTTGTTAGTGTGCCCATGTGTCTGATGACTCCATTAATGGAGTATTACCTCCTTTTCCATTTTAGTTTTGCCAAATAGCTCTATTGTGTATTAAATCAATCACTTCTCAGGGAAGGACCTAGTTTAACATGGTTTTGATTGTTTTGAAGGCCTTAGATGAGGTTTTTATCTCAGCTGGATGGAGGAAGTTTGCTTTACCTGCATGCACACTTGCAAGAGATTACAGATGCGATCTGTTGAGGGATGCGACGGAAGAAGTCCACAGTTTGGGATATTCTACTCAGCTCGTGTGCTTACAAGACTATGCTCTGAATTAAAACAGTTCCACACTGGCTGTGGAGTGATCATATGTCCACCTACTTAATTTTCATCACCAGAGGCTGAGTACAGGCTACAAAACAAACATTTTTGAGGGCTTCTGTTGGGTCTTTTTAACACTAGCTGAAGATGGTCTTTTGATGGATTCTTATTATGGTGTGTTCTCCTATGTGGCATTCACTTGATTGTCTGTTAAAATGTAATGTGAAAATTTGCTACAATAGACAGATTGTTTTCCCCCTTTCAGAATTTCAGAGGTGCAGTCTGGAGTGGTTACCTTGGATGCATAGCTTCTCTCTGCAGTTAGCTCTTGGAGACTTGAAATGTCAGCAGATCTTACTCAGGTTGTGGGAAAAGCAGCATAAGATCCCAAAATTATTTTCCCATTCATGCAGCAGGTTAGGGGCAGATTCTCTGTACACAGTTTAACTTTACTCCAGTGGAAGTATTTCCTGAATTTAAGCTTCCTGAGAGCAGAATGAGATCCAATGCCTCCTTGAAAACACAGCAGTGATGAAGGCTAAAGGTGAATTATTATTTTTTTGTTTTGGATTCTTTGCATTTCACTAGGAACATTTTGTGAAAGAAGAAACCTTAATCAAAGAAATTCACAGATCTTTTTTGCATTGTTTTCTTGAGCTTAGTTTCTAAGATATAAACATCTCTAAGCACTTTCACAGAAGAGGTGCAAATTACATTTCACACTTCTGCAGAGGAACTGGGAGCCATGTAACCTGCTTGTATTGTTGGTTAAAGAAGGATTATGAAAGAGGAGTCTGGACTGTAAGGTGTTAGTCCAAACTGCCGTTGATTGATGATACGGCTTAGAGTGAATTATCTTGCCTCCACACCTTGAATCTTCAATCTAAAATATAAATACCTCACCTCAAAGTATGGTTTTGAAACATAATTAAAGCTTGTAAGGCATAAAGGTATCTTTGGAATAAAGTAAATCCAGTAAATAATCCACAACCCTTCAAAGGAACCTACATGTGGAAAAAAATTCCTTGTATAATAAGTAGACATCTTCATACAACCTGCACAAAGGCAGGGAAACTGTCCAGGTACCAGGGACCATGTATTAGCAGTTTATATACATAGAATTTTTTTTAAAGAAAAATAATTGCTGTCATTTTAGGGAAGGATGAGTATCGATGCTTTAGATACTGTAAGGAGAGATGCATGAGCAGTAGAGATCAGTCTTACAGTGGCACATTGGTTATGTGGATAACTAGAAGTTAATACCTTCTACCACTGAATTATTGTGATCCTGCTTTTCATTTTAGGTTAAGAATGCTACAGAAACTAATGTACCAGCAAGTTGTGGTGGGTTGGTTTTTTTTCATGATGGTTCCAGATGTTTCCTGAAAGGATACACTGCATCGTCCAGTGTCCTCCTTCAGCTGACCCCTTGCATACAACTTTTCTTTTTGTCTGTCTGCACAACTTGACTAGTGACATAGTGATCTTGCTGAGTCATAATTCAGAGAGCTTTGGGAAACTATAAAAATAAAATCAGTAGCAATAACACTGCTGTTGCAAACTGAAATAGTTACTGAATTCTGAATGGTAATTTCAATGTGCTGTACTTCAGAAAAGGCCCCTTCTGGCATTAATAGGCCTGTTGAAGCATTTTAATGATTGGTGTCAATGCTGAACAGACCAGACATCACTGAAACGAGTTTCATTGGCAAGAATAGGTACCAAGTTGTCTTTTGGGGGATATTTTCAGAGAGCAAACTTTTTTTTTTTTTTAACAGTTGTTAATTCTTGAAAGGATGATGTGGAGTGTGTGTGTGTGTTGTGGTGGGGATGTTTTTACATGTGAAGCTTTTGAAGAGAGTATTTCTGAACAGCACACCATGACTTACAAACCTGCAAAGGGTCAAGGAAGATGGAGAATGGGTTTGAGTGGGGATGTAAATACATGGAAAGTCTGAGCTATGAGACTTGGCAATATATATTTTTTATATATAAGAATGCAGGAAAAAAGAAAACTCAGAGAAGGCAAAGAATGAAAAACACGAGACAGTATTTTTAAAGAAGTGATGGAGAAGTGAACAAGATTTTTTAAAGAAGCAATGGGACTTTTCAGTAAGGCAGAAAGACAGGGTAGGAGAGGAGAAAGGATAAGCATCAGCTAACTCTGCCAACCTGGATAATTAGGTAACCACAGAAAGAAGAGTTTGGGCATCAAGGAGCCTGTTGATGTCTTTTTGCAAAAGAACTGTCAGTGTTTTTGCTTTGAAGTTTTATGTGCATATATATGTTTAGGCAACATCCATAGCTAACTGATAGGTGGCTCTGTGTGTGTGCATAAGTGTTTCATTTCAGTATAAAACTGGTTTGTATCAGAGTAAAGAGAAAATTCCCAGATCTTTCTTGGTCAAAACTCCTGGTGAATTTATTTTAACCGGACTTTGTAAATATAGAGAAACTATTTTGTAGTGTAATCTGGTTTTAGGTTTATCAAGTTTATGTGGTACTTTGAATTTACCTGTTATCTGTGCATTTTAGATAAGCCATATCCTTGAGCAGACTGCTTTCCTTTTGTAACACTGGTATTTTGGCCATCTTAATGAAACAAACATAATTAGAAAATCAAAATTTGGAGGTTTTAGCAAGATAAGATTCCTCTATAGTATTTATAAACCCAAACATTGGTTCATTGAAAGCCTGATAGTGTCCCCTGAGGGAAACAGATTTGTTTGAGTTCTCATAATCTAGTGCTGGAGGAAAAAGTGCACAAAGCAGTGAAGTATAAATAGTAACAAGCAATTTTTAAATTATTTTGGTCACTGAAAGCTGACCCTAGTTGTTATAAAGTATGTTCTGTAATTTTAGCCATTTTGAGGCTGTACTTAAACACCTAAATATAAATGACCTTTTCTTCAGAGGTGCTTAAAAGCAAGGGTGGGCATAACACAGTGACAGGATTTGATTAGGGAGGGTGATATGCTCTCACCAGCAGGAGAAAGAAGATTATTTTCCCAGAAGTAATCTGTGTGGTCTAGAGTGAAGCAAGGTGAGCATCAGGGTAGCAGGAGGGGAGGTGGATCTGGCTTGATGATGATAGGACATTAGAAACGTACCTCAGAAGCTTAGAAATAATATACTTCTGAGCCTATTTGTCTCTGCCTCAGAATATTTTCAGGTGTGAGCATCTGAAGTTGGGCAGGTAAAGTGTATGTGTTGACTCTTAGGCTGAATGATTTTTCTAGTCTCCCTGTAATTTGTTTAAGAATAAAATAGTGTAGGTGTCTATAAAGTGATATGGTTTGCATTTTATATATGTATTTATAGAATATCTGTATGTTTAAAAGTAATACATCCAGAGTAATGATTATCATTCTCTTTTGTGACATTATCCATCACGGGAAGTTACAGTATGAATGATGACTTTTATAACAAAGAAAAAGTGAGCAAACTTGGCTATCTGTGAATGTTAAAGAAGCAAGTTCAAGTTGAGGCTGTTGGAGGTTACTGTTTCAAACTGAAGGGGCATAATATCTGTGCAAACAAATGGCATTATGCATAAGTCCCCGGTAAGTGCATGGTCTAGAACTGTGTTCAGTAGTCCTGCATCCCATAGTGGAGGAGAAAAATGCTGAGGACCTGCTAAGGACAGACACTTCCTTTGGTGGTGCGATGGTAATGCTGCTTCTGCTTTTCCTTCAACTCAGAGGTTGGCTGCCCTAGGCTAAGCAGGGCACAGAAGCTTGCCTGGATAGAAAAGAAGCACTTTCTTGTAGGTTAAAATCTTGTGGGCCAGAACTGCAGCTTCTGATACACAACCAAGTTAAAAGGCACCAGGGAAATCTCTTATCTGTAGGGACCAGTACCTACACATTCTAGTGTCAGTGGCCTCAGTGTGCTGTGTTGGATGGAGGAGGCTCAGCTGTGCCCCAGCCATGTGCTGGAAGTGCATGACTGCTGCCAGGCTGGGGGACAGAGGTGGTAGGAGAGAGCATCTAATTAGTGATATGGAGCTAATGCCTTGTTTGTCTCTTTTGGTAAATCCATATTTGTAGTTAATACTTTATTTTGCAGCAGAGATAGGCCAAGAGATTGCTGCTCAGAAAGTAAGCTGAGATGATAAAAAGCTATGTCCTATGTTCTTGCAGTGAAGTGCTTATGTTCTACTAGGAAGTGCTTATGTTCAACTAGGTCAGGCAGTGGCGTCCACAAGCCATGTTATCATTGGTTGCTCTTAATTTTTTTGCCATGAAAATTGGAAGTAGCATGGTGTTTCCAAGAGCTGAGGCTGAGATGTTCAAGGTAAGCAGTACACTACACAAGCCTCTCTAACGTTTTCTCAGTTCCTTGAAAAGCGTAAGTTCCACAATTTACTCCTACATTTGTCTAACTTTTCCTTTAAAAGAAAAAATGTTCTTTTTTTTTTTTTTTTTCAGTTCCTCCAGGAGTGATACAAAATGGAGCTCGAGTTCTGAGTAGAGGAATATTCCCTGGAGCCAGGCCATTGCCAATCAACCCTATAGGAAGCATGGCTGTTGCAGTAAGGTAAGAGTGGCTCATTGCAGGATCTTCATGAAATGAATCAAATCAGTATTTTGCAGGGAATGTAAAAGCATATGTAAGCTCTGGTCAGCAGATCCTTTGCTGCTAGCTAATACTTCTGAGGTTCTAATCACAGAATCACTGCAGTTGGAATTGGCCTCTAGAGATTGTCTAGTCCAACCCCCCTCCTAAAGCAAAATCCTCTAGAGCACATTACTCAGGACTGCATCCAGGTGGGTCTTGAATGTCTCCAGAGAAGGAGACTCCACAACCTCCCTGGGCAGCCTGTTCCAGTGTCTTGTCACCCTCACCATAAATAACTTTTCCCTCATATTCAGATAGTCCTTCTTGTATTCCAGTTCATGCCTATTGCCCCTTGTCCTCTTGAAATAAAACTCTGCCACCTAAAATTGTTAGGTTATCATTCTTTGCAAGATGGCAATGGCATATTTCTGTTGCACACTGTTTTGTAAAAAGCGGTTTTATTTTCACTAGCAAACAACAGGCTGTTTATGTTGAAAACCTACAGTGACCTGTTCTTCTAAGTGCAAATGGTTTTTCCTTCTCCTTCCTCCCTTTTCTGAAAGACCTTTTCCTAGATGAAATACCAGTGAGAAGAGTATCAATAATATTAAAGCAAGTTCTGAAAGATATCTAAACGTATAGCTGTAATTTTATTATTAACTTAGGTGTTTGTGAAGCAGTTTCTTTCACTGCAGTTTCTATTTCGAAGTTATACCGAAAGATCTGAAGGTAAAATGTAGTTTGAAGATAATCAGGTCTTTCAGAAAGCAGGGCAGTAAGAGACATCTAGTGATAACAGTAAGAACTGTGATTCGGTGGATTGCTTTACTTAAAGCAGTGGTGGTTTATTGGTGGAAAAACAATTTGCCTCAGGTGTAGCTCCATTTTCAGTCAGTCACAACAGAGACTAATTTAGTCAAGTGTGCTGCCAGTGCCCTTCTCTTTGAGAACTCTCAGTATCTGGAAAACCTGCTTCAGCTCAGACAATGGGTATTTTGGGTGGGGTTTAATAATTAGCACTGACCCCACTTTGCTGGGCTGTTCCAGTTACACTCTCTGATCTCAGTAAATGGCTACAAGGCAGTGAAATAAAGTGTCTTGATAGCTACTTAGTTTGTTATTATTTATTTGGGATTTTTTTCCTATTTGCTCTTTACATTTTTTACCCCTTTCCAGAATTAGTGTCTGGCCCTTTGGGTGCAGTATTTCTAGCCAATAAATGGAGAGAGAACTTATGACATTCCTATAATCTGGTTGCTTAAAATGCATAGAAGGGAAGACACTAATTGGAATAAAATCCATATTTTTTGTGGGCAACTTTTTCAGCTGTTTTTCACATTTGCTGCACTGAGGGGATACAACCCTGAGGGTCATCCTCCAGTAATCTGCAGAGTTCATCTCCCTTTACCACGGTCTGGCCTTGCTAGCAGAGGTCAGCTGTCTTCAGTAGCTTTGCTACAGACTTTAGCCAGGACTTTTTCTCTGCGCCAGTGGGGATTGCAGAGCTGTGGGACTACTGGAATATTAAGTTAGATATAATTTTATGAGGTGTCCAAGCTAAATGAAGGACATAGTGGTCTGAATGTTCTCTCTTGAGTTTATCTGCATTTCCTGCTTCATAACTGGGGTTATGGACCCTGTTTCGTAACTGGGGTTGATTCAAGAAGGAGAAAGAACCTTTTTTCCTTCCAAGCTGCTTGAAAACTTTCTTCTGCTTAGTCATCCTCAAATTGCTGTGCTGTAAGCCTGTATATGGTTACATTTGACGCATTTTCCGAGGACTATTTCTCACGTTTTTTCACAGTAGGCAGAACAGGATCTTTACCAGCTACCTGCTAATGTAGATTTGGGAAATTAGGAATTTTACCCCTCCTTTGCTTATGTTCATTTTGCTCTGTCTCAGAGAAGAGCATTTATAATTAGTTAATGCAGACATTTCTAATTCTTTTTGTTCTTTTCTCCAGCCTTAGGCAGTATTAGAAATAGCTTGCTATGAATATATCCCGGTCTGCATGATGTCTGCTCATATTTAAGGACTCCTGCAATATCCTCTCTTTTAATTCTTGAGAAGGGGCAAGGGGGCGTGGGAGAGGCTTTGAAATCTTTGGAGAAGTTGAGGGACTCTGCAATAGAGCAAGTTCTGCAGGCAGTTCTTTCTCCTTTCTCTTGGGAATATCAAGGTTCAGAATTTCTTTAGGAAGAAGGTCAGCCTGGATGCAGGACGCCGCTTAGAACATCTGGTCCTCTCAAAACTGGATACTTCTATCAGTTACTGTAAAAGAGATACCCTGTTTCTTGGTGCTTACCCTTCTCCTTGGATTCATAGGGCTATATAGGACCTGTTGTGTGAAGCTTCCATGGCATCTCATGATAATAACTTCCGCTTATCACGTGCAGCAGGAGGAATTTGCTACAGCATCCATGCAACCTTCTTCTGTTGCAGTCAAGACTAGGAGTACTGCTCAGACAGAGCTGTCGTTCCTGCATAGAGGGGGATGCTCCAGTCAGGCTGGGAGGGAATGGTTTTAGACCTGTTCAGGTTCAAGAAGGTTGATTTCCTCTTCCACTTCTCACAAGGAAGGAAGTCTGCTGAGCAGCCACAGGAGGTCTCCTGTTACAGTTATCTGCAGAAAGTGTGTGTCTGCTTATATATTGAGAAGCCAGACAACTTCTTTCCAAGAAGTTTTTATTCAATTTGTATTTTCTTGAGAAAAGTTCCTTTGCTGAAAGGCCTAAAAAAGGTGGTTTTCATCACTCATGTGGAGGACCTCTAGTAGTTTCTTGGTAGTGGATCCTTTCATAATACATTAAACTTTGGGGTTTTTTATTTTCCCCCAAATTACCTGCAAATAACTTGTCCTGTTGTGCAGACTCCCAGTGTCAAAACAGTTCTGACTTGAATTAAATTTGCAGTTGCAATTAGTTGGAGTGGTTTGACTAATCTGTTATTCAGAAAGGAGTCCTAAGCCATAGCATTGGACTAAGATGCTGAAATCTGTGATTTCTGATGTGTTAGCACTTATCAGTTGGAAACTTTACTGTGCTGTTCTTCTTCAACAGTGTGGCTGAATGTGTTAGTGTATTTTGTTCGTGCATAAGGTATCAATGTGTTGCTGTTCCCATGTAATTACATGTCATTATTTCTTATATTTAAAGTAAGATTGGATTCAGTAGTTTAGGTTAAAAACCCTACTCAGAAGTATTTAATAAACACGACAATTCCACCACTTTCCATGAATAAAGAGCAACAACTGAGGAAAGCATCATTATGTTGTAATGCATTTGGCTGAAATTGCACAAATAGGCCTTTTGTTCCAAACTATTCTACAAATGGAAAAGGCATCCCACACTATTTTTACTTTGGAAATCATCCTCTGGTGTTAAATCTCCACAGAAGAGCATAATTGGATGTGTTTTGACAGTAGCTTTTTATTTACTTTATTCACACCACTTTTAGCTTGTTTACCATCCATATTTTCTGTGTTGTGGCTGACAAGTCTAAGACCCACCCCAAGGCAGCAGGGGAAAATAATGCTTCAAAGCTGCACAGCGTGTAGCTTGTCTCTAACATGAGATCCATCATAAATATTTTTGGCAGACCATATCCCCATACAGTTTCCTGAGAGAATCTAAGAGCAAATGCAGTGATATGTAGAAAAGAAGATACTGACTTACAAAGGTATTAAATGAAAGCAAGCAAAGCCAGTAGTGCCTTACATGCAGCAAGGAGCTGGCTATGCTTTGAAGGTGAGCTCTGGCTCTTACTATGTACCTCCACTGGAAAATACCTTTTAAATGTTTGATTATGAGGACTTCTATGTCCCTTGTGGTAGGCATAGCCTCTATCAAAGTGGTCAGTGCATCTGCCAATGTGTATCTTGGCAAGGTGCAAGAAGCTCTATCATATATATAGTTACCATCCACACAAGTTAGGGCTTTACACCAACTCTTTGGAAGAGCATGCATTTGGAAACTGAGATAATATTAGAGTTGTTTGAACTACAGTTTTGGCACATTGAGCAGACAGCCTCCACCATGATGTTTGTAATTTTCTTTGGTTATCAGTAGTGCACGAGGGGTTTGTGTCTGTCTTTGCGTCCCGCTGCTGTGCAGTATCCCTGCAGAGCCTGAGCCTCATATGCCTGACGTGAGCAAATCCACTGATGTGAGGTTGATGGAATTTCATTCCGCAGAGAATCTCACCAGCAGTGTGTTTTAACTGAGTGTTTCTAATTACATACCAAAACTGTCACCTATGGGTGTACAGTATCTGTCAACCACAAGGATCAGAGATAGATAAGGTGATCTTTAAACTCCACATAGGTTTGTTTTGCTCATCAAAGGAGTATATTTGTCTCTGGAGTGGAATACAGTAAGTACTTTTCCACAGAACTTTTTGCCATCTTGCAAACAAAACATGATCACCTGTCTTTTTTTAAAGCTAGTAGAGAAGTTTAAGGAAGGTATACCTGCCCTTGGAAAAGTGACTGAGACTTGGATCTCATCTGGAGGAAGACTCCTTTAAAGACAGGCACTAACACTATGCAAAGGACATGATTTCTTTACTGACTAGATCCAGCTGCTCAGCATCCCATCCAGCTCCTGATGACATCAGTAGCAGAACTGCCATCCATTACAATGGGAATGGAGTCAGGCTTTCAGAAGTCCAAACTTATCTTTGCAGTGCTTGAGAGCTGTGTCATTGTGCTACAGTCAAATTTAAATGTTTAAGAATCTGTGCATGGTCTAGAGCTATGGTTAAGATCTTTCAAGCAAATAAAACAGTCCATGTCAGTAGGATGAAAAGCTATATAGACTGTCCCATGTGCTTTCCTGAAACAGCAAGAAACTACTTTAAAACATATGAATATAGGGAAATTTCTGAAAATTTTGAAATAAAGTCCCAAACAAAAAAATGGGGAAAAATAATGTATTACTTTAAATTCATTCCCTCTCACTGTTTTAATAAGCAAAAAATTCTTAAACCTGTTCTTGCTCTCTGCAATTCAAAAATAATCCAAACATCAGAGTGAGCACTTATTTTAAAAATCTGTTATTATTTCACTAATAGAGTTATAATGAAAACTGTGAGCAAAAATAGATTTTGCTAGTCAAAATTTGTCCCCTGTACTGCAGGGGAGTTCTGTCCACTGGTGATCTATATTGAACTAAATGGATCATGGATTCATTTCTTAGTGAGTGTGTGACTGTATTAGAGCAATAGGGAGCTTGAGAAGGTCTTGGAAATGTGTACAGAATATGAATGCTTTAGGTATTAGTTTATTTGATATCTATTAAAGTACTTTTATCAGCTATAAGTAATTCTTTGTATCTTACATTTGAGCTATTGTGTATCAAGATACAAACCAGATTAATTTACTTCAGGAGACATGACTTCAACTTTGTGAATACCCTAAAATACTCTGCCTGTATAAGTAATGTTCATTTCTGTGAATATTCTTTGCTAATTCTCTCCTTGACCTGCTTTCTCTTCCTTTTTTATTTCCCCAAGCAGAACTGGTTGGAAATCTTTCAAAATGTAAGTGAAAACCAACGATTTTTCTGAGATGCAAATACTGTCCATTTCCTGACCAGTTCCACCACAGATGCCTTTCTTTTGAAGTGTATTGCTATTTCCTTTCCTCCCGTTTTTTAAAGTGATTTCTTTTTTGCACCTTTCTGTGGACTTCTTTTTGTCATCATCCCTATTTGCAGTCACTCCCGGTGGGATGCTAACCCCATAGTAGTACAGCTTCTCTTGGGACATTCCTTCTGTAATCCCTTTCATTCGATTTTTATAGGTTTTTGTAAGGATTGGGATCTAGAGTAAGTCCCATGAGCAGAGCTTTTGAATCCAAAGTATAGCCCCTTTATGTAAACGCAAACACTAGAGACTCAAGAGTGGGGCAAATTGAGGTGTCTTTTTGGCACATGGTTACTCTGCTCCACAGAACTGGAGCTTTCCTTTTATTCATAATCTCTCAGTACAAACTAATAGGAGTAGATCTAGTAACATGAAAATGGACATCTTGATTTAAATCCCATTTCTTAGAAACCTTGTTCACTAATAACCTAGTCGGTAGGAATCCCATTTGAGTTCCCACCTATTCTGTCCTGTATTTGTTTCCTTGGAGGAAGAATTTTTTGCTATTTCATAATGGAAAATCGGCAGCATGTGACTTTTATTGAGCCACATTGATCTGACTATTAGCTGCCTAGTGAAAGCAAATAACTTTAATTTTATGCTAATTTATGATAATTTTAACATCCCTAAATGTAAATTTACCCTAAAAATGAAGAATCTGTCACTTAAAATTCATCACATGCTTCCTTGTAATGACTGATCTTAAGGAGTTGGTTATAAATTCACCTTACAACTAGTTTAGTGTGGATGATTTCTTCTTTTAAGCATTTGGCATCCTCTAATGACAACCCCTGCAGTGGCAAACCATCACCAAGTAAATGCAGCTGGCTCGCTGCACAATCATGAATGACATTGCATTTAGTTATTAATAATTGAAGGGGCTCTGTGTATTCCTTCTGGGTTTTGTATATAATTTATGGATCATAAAGCTACTCAGAAATCTAGGGGAAAACAATTTTCTTGAGCAAAAGAGGCTGGCAAGAGGCTTTCTCTGCTAGTAACTGGGCCGTCTATTATATAAATTTGTTTGAAAATTCTGTAAATAAGAACATTTGAAATGACTGATTAATTTGCTACCTTCTAACATTGTCCTGTCACTGGCTCACAAAAGCCTGTTTCTTATTTCAGCAAGCTGTACAGACAAGAGCATTTAGATCAATAGGAACTGTGGAATTATATACCACTCCTCCATTTTCGAGCTTTCAGCCTTACCTTTCAGCAATGGATAAATACTCCACTGTTTCTGCTGAAAAGAAACAAGATGAGAGGTCCATTCCCTGAAACCTGGAGCACTTTCCCATTTTTTTAATAGAAAAGCAGTAATACTCTGGAATTGCCACTGTGCCATTCCTCCTAAGAAATGTCTGTGCTTTTAAGAATAGGTTGTAATACAGAATGGCCATGAGTGTGCAAAAGCACTGTAGTGATAGCATGAAGATTGCAGGAATAGATTTTAAAGCAGTTTATCATGTGATACTTTGAACAGTCTTGCTTGTTTGTTGTTTTTTAACTGATTGAAGGCTTCAAGGCTGGTGAACTGGTGGGTGGCAGTGATATTGCCTTTACTCAATGATGAGTATTCTCCTCTCTTTTTTTTCTTTC